TGGCGGGGAGCCCCTCTCACCCTGCTCCTTCAGCTCCTCGGAAGCCCTGCTCAGCCCCTCAGCAAACAGCTGCTTCTGGACGTGCATCTCGCTCAGGAGCGACGGTCTGTCTGGGCGCGTGGAGGGATGGAAGGGGCGCAGGCCGCCTGCGTCTCAGAGCAGGTCCACCTCGCAGCTCCACTGGGGATGCCTCCCGGCTTCTCCATCATGGACTCCAGAGGGACGCCCCCGACGGAGGCTGTGCCCGCCCTCAGCACACCTCCCTCCCAGGACAGTGGGTCTTCCGGGGCGGCCCGGGCCTGGGACACGCGGCCTCCTCACCGGCGCGGAACCTCCCAATGGCTGTGTCGATGTGAGCGAAGAGCGCGGCCGCTTCCCGCTCCAGCTGCTCCCGCCCTGGGTGGGACAGGCCGGGAAGGAGTCAGGGGCGTGAGCGCTCGGCCCAGGCGCAGGGCCAGCCGTGACCGGTCTCCGCCATGCGGCGCGCCTCACCCAGGTACCCGGGCTCCAGGCCGGGCGCCCGCAGCAGGGAGCGCAGGCTGCGGGAGAGCTCCCGGGGCGGCCCGGGGCCCCACAGCACCCGCAGGTCATAGTCCAGGAGCAGGGGCAGCTCCGGCCAGCAGCGCAGGCAGCTCTCCGCGCCCGCGGCGGGCAGGAGGCAGCCCAGCAGGACCAGCAGCATCTCGGGGTCCTCCCTCTGCTTCCCGCCCCCAGTTCCACAGGGAACACCGGCGCCCGGTCTCCCTGGAAACCGCGTCCTCTTGGCGAACAAAGGTAAATTCTGACGGTAAGGTGAGGGCCAGGCGAGGGCAGCCGCGGCCAGCACCAGGCTTTGCTGCCAGACAGGAGCCTCTGAGGATGCCCATCTGGAGGTTTCTGTGCTGCTCCAGGCTGCTCAACTCTCCTGGTGGCGTTTGCCACGCGTGAGATGGCCCCCCAGCCTGGAATGGGAGAGTCAGAGAGAGCAGCACGGAGCGAGGGCGAGGTGTGCAGGAATCCGAGTCCCTTTTCCACGCTGGAGAGCTCAGCCACGGGGAAGCCTGCGGGCAGGCACCTTTGTCATGATGCGTGTGCACTGGCAGCAGCCTTGCAGTGGCCCAGAGAGAGGGGCCCAGACAGCTCCCCCAGCACAGTGGAGGCAGCCAGACACTCAGCCAGGGCGGAAGCCCAGTGAGCAGTCTTTGGGGGAGCAGCTCTGATGTGCCATATGCATTGAAGAAAAGCCAACACCTTCCTCTTCAGTGAGGAGAAAGCTGGTGGGATCCTGTCACTGCCCAGCTGGCCAGCTTTGCCCTTCCATGCCAGGCTTCCACCCAGCTTCTGAGCACCTCGGGCTGGATTATGGGCAACTGAAAGCTACCAGGTGTTTGAGGAATACTGCTAATGTGAACAAGAGACAAAAACTATAGCAAAAATTCCAAACAAGAGCAAACGAAAACCACAGGAAAAGTGAAGGGTACAAAAAATACATGTGGATAGCAGAAGACTACTCCAAACACCACAACAATTAGATAAAGATTGCTTTTCCCAGACAAGAGGAGGCTGCTATGTAAAAGAAAAGGCACGGATTAATAATATGACTGCAGGACCCAGCTGGGGTGGCTCAGTGGTTGAGCATTGACCTATGAACCAGGAGCTCACCGTTCGATTCTCAGTCAGGGCACATGCCCTGGTACGGGCTCGATCCCCAGTGTGGGGCGTGCAGGAGGCAGTCGATCAATGATTCTCTCTCATCCTTGATGTTTCTGTCTCTTTCTTTTTTCCTCTGTGAAATCACTAAAAATATATTTAAAAAAATGTGATTGCAGGTATTTAAAAATTCCACAGTAGTACTGGGAGATAAAGTTTCAAAAATCCCCCAGACAGAAGTATAAAAATAAAACAGCACAGAGATGAGAAACAGGAAAAAGGTGAAATTAGATAATCAATCCATGCAGTCCCATGTCCAGCATACAAGTTTCAGAAGGAAAGAACAGAGAACACAGAGGAGAGGGGATCATTTAGAAAGACGTTGGGTGAGAAGCATACACAGGGGTACAGTCTAGCTTACAGGGAGGGGTGCAGCGGATAGGCTCAATAGTCGGATCGGAACAGAGCAGCGGTGGAGTCGGTAAGTTCTGGCCGCATGGCCAGCTGGGCTCTGAGGTGGGAGGATGGTTCTGAGTACTGCAGAGCTGTTGCTTTCCCACCGGCTTTGGGTGGTTTGGGGTAAGGGGTTGCCCTGCTTTATTCTATGCAGGCAGTGCTGGAAATGAAGGCCCTGACTCCCTGAACCACAGCTGGGAAAGCAGTGCTCCCTCCCATGATGCCCTGGGTAGTGCTCAGTACACAGGCATGAAGGCCTGCTGCTCACTGTATTTGCCATCTCCTCTGAGGTGGCCCCACCCAGCCCGTATGTCGGGGAGGAGAAAACGGAACTAACAGAAATGATATAAGAAAGGTTTTAGAACTGAAAGGGCCTGCTGAGAAGGCATCGAGGGCCAGGAATAAGAAACCCCACACTAAAGCGCAGAGGGAAAACAGACCACATACAGTGGCCCAGTAACCAGAACGCCTTCAGGCTTCTCAAGAGCAGGGTAGGAAAGCATAGACAATGCTGTCACATTCTGGGGAAAATGTCCCATCTTAGAATTCTGTACTCAATAAAACATCAGTCAAGGAAGAAGAAAGACAGAGGCTATTTCAGCCAGGCAAGCTTTAAACTGTGTTACAGAAGACGGGAGAAGAAACCAAGCCATGCTTAGAGAAAGGGAGTTCCACTTTAATTAAGCGCAGGCCCAGAGAAAAATGTGTCTTTCAAATTCTGAGTCCCCTCAACATGGAGGAAACTTCTCTATTTATACTTCTTCCAGTCCTTTGTCTCCCAAATTTGGAATGAGAAAGAAGGCCTGCGTGCTGGGAGGGGCCATGACACCATTTCTCAAGGCCTGGCCTGGCACCAGCACTGAACTCTGTCTGGGGCATAGTTTATGGCCTCTCTGGAGTGGGAATAGTCTTATTTTCCCTATTATTTAAGCAAGCAAGCGTTTACAGAAGCTAAAATAGCAGGGCTAAAATTTCAAACAGCAGTTTTTATGTAAGATAGATGCTTCAATGGGCTTCTGTTGCCTTTTCTCAGAAAGCGATGAAAGGATGTGCTCCAACTAAAGAAGCAAGTCATGCAAGAAAGATGATGTAGTGGAAGTCAGGAAATGGAGGCTAATCCTGCAGAGGGGTGAAGAGAACTTCGGTCACAGTCAAGGCTCCCCTCAGGAGGCGGTCGAAGCTGTTGGCTCTCCCTGGGTGCGAAAGGCCTGGAGTGGGTGACCTCGGTCAGCTCCCTCATGGCTTTGGGTTCCTTACTTGGGCTTTTGTTTGGGGGTGAAATGATCAGAGTGGGTCTTTAGAGTGCTTTGGCATCAGAAAACTCCACCTAAGTAAAGTGAGTATTTGATCCTGAGGTTTGGGGTACAGCCCGAGTCCCTTTTCCCTCAGTTTATTGTTTTCCTTTGAGAAACTCGAGAGGAGGGCAAAATTCGGGTGTCACTTTGTTTGTGACCCAATCCCATCTCAATTCAACCCCACCTCTTAGCATCAGTTGGATAATGTGGTCCTGGCTCTTTGAAGTGACATTTAAACATAGAGTTACAGTAACTATGGGCTGGGGGAGATTTTAATCCAACCCAATGCCTGTGGTTGACAGTTCTTCACCTACTCATTTTCTAGTCTCCATTTGCTTGTCCTGATTTCTTCTCTTATTTCTAATGTAAGTGAATTACATTTGTACACTTGGAATTCACTAGGAATTTGGAATGAATTAGGAGTGCCAATAACAAAGGCAGCCTTTTCTATTTTCTAGGA